GTAAATGGATGGATTTTAAAAAGTCTCAATGGTCTGATTTCATCTTTTCAAATGTGAACACTTTTAGAATTTCTTTAGTTAGTCCTCCATGGAAGCAGAAACACTGTCTTATGTTTTCAGTAAGACACAACATTAATGCACATCAGCGTGCAATTGGGAAAACTGATCAACATTCTTCCAACACTACCAGAAGTCATTCTTAAAATGTAGGAGGGCTTCAGAATCCCACCAGAACATTAACAGATGAGACTAGGATCAATAATTTCCAAATGCATACTTTTCATAATCAGAATATGTGAAAGAAAGGAATGTGCTGAGGTACTACACTTGTACTTTTTCAAAATATGGATGTTAAATATTGCAATTAAGCTTTCGTGATTTCTAGATAGGAAACGGGTGCAAAAACCCTCAAAGGGTTAAATACTGTATGCGGAAAGCAGTGAGCCCAAATTCCGAGCAGAAAATAATATTGAGTTCATTTCTAGCATTCAAATACTGTAACTTGCAAGCAAGCTAACGTACTCCAGGTAACAATACTATAAATCTTAGCATCAATGCTCTGATTCACACCATTGTTTTCTCACAAGCAAAAAATAAATAAAATAAAAAACGTGAGCCGTAGAGGTCCTGACAAATGACACCTTTTACTTTTTGACACATTGTGTACTAAAATGCTCATAACTTTGATAAAAGAGGTTTAGGTGACCTTACGTTGGCACGTTACCGATTAATTTTTCGATCACTTGGCTACATTATCAATCGATCACAATTTTACTCCACTTACATTACTTGTTTGGAAAAAAGGTTTTTGCATCGTGCAGGCTTTTTTTTTTTTTGTGCAACATTTTTTTTCAGCATCGGTCCATCTGATCTGCTTGTCCACTTGTCTGACATGACTTGTCTCACTCAGTGATGGTGTGAATGTGGGTATGAATGGTTGTTTGTCTCAATATGTGCCCTGTGACTGACTGGCGACCAGTTTGGGGTGTAGTTTGCCTTCTGCCCGAAGTCAGCTGTGATAGGCCCCAGCAACTCCCCACGACCCTCTTCATGATAAGTGGTGTTGAAAATGGGTGGATGGATGATGGTGTCAAGGACAGCTTGATTGCATGACTTATTCACAAAGAATTGAATTGTTTAAATGGCTGCTATGTTAAAGTGTGTAAGGGAAAGCGCAAACTAATTTAGAAAATGGGGCAGGCAACCCCACCGTCCCCTTCAACTACACCAGAGGTGTCAAACATACGGCCCGCGGGCCAGAGCCCCCACAGAGGTTCGATCAGGCCCGTAGGATAATTTAAAAGTGAAAAAATACATAAGACACAGAATAAATATTTTTCATAAGCTGCAATCCATGGATCATCCGCTAGGGGAAACACTGTTTTGATCAGAGAAGAAGACAACAGCAGTCTCAGTCTGTCACTGAGACAGACCCAACACAGCAATAAAAGCCAGCTACCTAATTGCTAGCAAAACAGCATTAGCATCAAAGCCATATTCCGACGGTGACTTTGTTAAACAATGCATGATGAAGGCGGCTGAACTTGTCTGTCCCGAGAAGCGACAGACAAGCTTTTGCCAATATTAGCCTGATGAGGAATACTTTACCAGAGAGGATTTCGGACCAATCAGCGGATTTAGACAGCCAATTGAAACAGAGAGTCAAGTTATTTTGTCAAATGTTTTGTAAAAGATATGTTCATTAAATTTCAACATTTTCCTAATGTTGTTGTGCTTCTTTCTACCAAAACAAAGGAAAGACGTGATATTTTTGTTATTTAGAACAGAGTATGGTATAATTTTAATGGTCTGGCACAGTTGACATCGACCGAGGCCGTATGTGGCCCACAATGTGAAATGAGTTTGACACCCCTGAACTACACCCTAACTGGTGTACATTTTCTCAAAACACCTACAAATCAACTTGAAAGGACAATACTACATTACTGGCATATAGTGTATAGCTTTAGAATCTGACATACAATTCATTGATACATTAGCGATGCAGTAAATCTACTGGGCACATTGCTGAAGAAGTGAAATAACAGTGCTGTACACTGTAGACCACCAGAATGAGAGTCCCATTTTAAAATGTTTGTGTTTTCAGACTCCACAATAGCAGCGCCATGTAATGGAATAGCCAGAAAGGCACAATAATGTGTTTTTGTCTTGCGTAACTGGACCTGTAATGACTGATGTTTTGAAAATTGAACACCTACACTCACTGGCCACAACATGAGCTACACACACCAGAAAATGTGTATCCAACAATTCTGCCTTCGTTGACATGATAGCTCAGTTTAAAGTAAACTATTCATTGACAATATTGTGGTTTGAGTTTGCTGTGGTGTATCATGCTGAGAGGTGTTTAACCCTTCGATGCACCCTGTAATCTAATAACACGATAAACTGTCCACTGTAGTAGCCGCTGTCACTGAAAAGGTTAAAGAACTGTCCATTGGTAAACATTTCATTATTCGTGTTTAACCTTTGTTCCTTTCAATAATTCAGAATTATTTGGAGGGGGTGGGTGGGGGGTATAAAAGAAAAGGTTGATAATCAAAAGCCAAACTAAAAATGTATTTTGCTCCGTGCAGGTGAACTAAGCTCATTTTTATACTTTGCGTAGATATTGAAGTTTTCTTCTCTGCAACTTGACACCTTCGGATTATGCCCTTTTATTTTTCAACATATGTGACATGGCATGCAGTCTGTACAGGGGCTTTCCCTCTTCTCTTTCACAAACAGCAGCAGCGAGCAGCCGTGCAATGAGAAGCTCTGAAAATAAGGAGAGCCTGGGAATCCGCTCCACTGCAGTCAGCCTGAAAACAACTGACCAACTGAGCAGAGACACTGCTGCTTCGTCAAAATCAGGCAGTGCAACATCCCACACACTCTTTTAGTCAGTGTCGAGTCGGGAAGGTCTGAACACTTCATGGACCAAAGCATTGAGACACTTTTTAATCAATCTACAGGCGTTGTCATCACCACGTCATAGTCAGAATCAATTAAGTCAATCGGTTGTTTGAGCAGTATATCCTTTGGTCTCGTGTGAATTTGAACTCTTCACCCGACCGAGACATTTTGGACAAACCTATGCTTCTGCTTTGTGGGAACAGTCTGGGAAAGCCCCTTGATTTTTTTTTTCTTCCGGCATGATTCAGTGCTTTCTCATGCAAATAAGTCGTGAGGTCATTGGTACAAACATCCCCATCCAGGACGCACTGCTCAGTATAGCTCAGTCAACAATCTTAACCGCAACATTCTCGCAATTGGTTCTGGAAGAAATTTTGTTAACTAGAAAATGTAAGTAGAGACGTGTTTCCATGAAAATGCCCTAATCCGTTCCAAACCCACCCTGATTTCAGACATAAATGTTTTCTAAAGCATCAAAATGCATCAAAATATGTCACAAATACATGTTCCAAATAGATTATTGCACAAGAAATGAGAGTTGTGCAAAATGTAAAAAACAATGAATAAAGAATAAAAATGATGGTCAATTAACGTTTTTTGCCCTCTTTATAGTTCATGTTCTCTCTCAGAAGTGGTTTTTGCTTGTCGTTTTGTAAAAGACTGATCCAACGACGTTTGCTTTTGACGGCTTTTAACAATCCTTCGCAAATGTCCAAGGCAAACATCAGCATAGCGGGCGATTGCCAGACTGGTAAACACTTTTTCTCGGTGATTCACAGTTACATAAAACTGTCGGAATGCCTCATGGCCCAAGGAGCGAATGACGAGGGTGCTATCTACACACATAGACACGTGCGGTAGAGGTCCTTAGCCAAAGGGATGCCAGGAAGATGCTCGGACTAGCCAATGGCAGAACAGCTATAAGTATGTTGCGTTCAGGAAACTTGCCGCTGCGATTAGCAGCCCATAATGTATTTTCACCTTTGGTATCTTGAAATTTCTTTCATAACAAGAGGCAATATTTTCCTGTTGAGGCGTTTCATAACTTGAAAATTTTGTATAACGATACGCTTGTACCACTGTACGAATCGGGTTACTCTCCCTGCACTGATTGGTTAGCTGAGTTGGGGGCAAAGGCCATCAATTAGGAAGGAGCAGGGGAAGAGCTCTTGTACACATATTAACAAACAAATTAACAGCCACAAAACCTCATGGGCGTAACGATGTACATATCAATTCTATACTTTCCACCATCTAATAAAAGATCATTAAGTAGTTCCGTCTGCCTCTATAAGTCGCTGGCATAGATGGATCAACAAAGATATGTTACATGTGATGAATAAATACATTTTGGGCCAATTAATTCAAATTTGATCAATTACAGTGGTCAATATGAGCTCTTCTACTACTGTGCCTTAGCAGTGGCACACTAGTTGTGAATCCCTGATCAATAGATATGCGCTATTTGCAGGCCGGCCAATAGCGGGGGGGCCACTGCGTACAAATATATATTGCAGAAATATTTATTTTTATATTGTCTTCATGAGCATATTTGGTATTAGAGAAATACAAAATTAATTAAAAGTATTCAAGTTAAATTACTTGGATTATATTACAAAGTACGTTTATAAACAGGTAACTCATAACTGTATCGGAATACATTTTAAAAGTAACCCCCCCCCCAAAAAAACCCTGTGCATGACTGGTATGCTCCGTTTCAAGGGAATGAAAGGAGGCGCTTTGATTGCCCACGATTGAAGTTGGCTGTGACCACTTCGACAGCAGTGCAAACCTCTCGCAGTTCTGCTGGCCTACGCTAAATTTGCGAAATGACTACCATTGGGTCTAAAGCGGCTGCGCATCGATTTACAGCACAACCTTAGTGTACACAAGCTTAGGATGACATTTCGAAAGTAATTTTTGTGTATTTTGGGTCTCCTTAGGAAAAAATCATCACATTTCAGGGTGAAGAATGACTTTGACAGAGTATTCTTCCATTCACATTGTCAACAGGTCAATTTTGACCCGACCCTGATGTAAGGGTTACAAAGACAAAACCTGAGCAAAGAGCGGAGTGGCATTACCTGCCGGAGTGTCCTCAGCATCTCTGTCGCCTCGTCGTGTTTGCCCTGCTTGGCCATCAACATCATCTCCTGGATCATTCCGATTCGCCGCTGGTAAGGCGGCGGGGTGACACCGCGGCTCAGCCTGTCCCCTGACCTCAGCATGAGGGATGCAAACAGGTCCCCTCGCTCCTTGGTGGGGGTGCGCCTCCAGCTGTGCTGAGGGCTGGCTCCTCCAGCATCGTGTCCCTTGGTCTGTTTACCCCCCATGGTGCTGTGTGCTGTGATAAAAACAAGCCTGATCCCAACGGGCAGTCGGTCATGCAGAGGCAGCCTTGGCGATTGTTTCCATCGGAGTGCCTGCAGCTGATCACATCTTTACAGTCTGGACACTTGAGGGGGCTTATGCAGCACTGCCAGTAATGAACTCGGATTTAATCTGCATGAGAAAGGCACTGCCGTACATGGAGTAGAAAACAACAATAAAGCAGAAGCAGGGGGAAGCAGTTCATGCAGCTCAAGTGGGGAAGAGGTCGGAGGATGCTGCCTGCAGCATGGCCGCTCAAAACGCACCAGTCACACAGAAGAACTGAAGACCGCCGCAGTCTCCTGTCCCAAACACAACTTCAACGCGTCTTCGCCTTGATTTACCTCCGGGAACGATGTGTTGTTGTTGCTGCCGTGTTCTCATCTCAGCCACCCCAACAAGAGCCCCCCCTTGTCCTGGAGCGGAGCACGGAGCGAGGCGGTGGTGCAGGAAGCATTCAGGGCATGGCAATGTTTACGTCCGCGGTTCAAAGACGACTGTCTCTTTGTCACCAGTGTTCCACTCCTGCGTTCCACCCGCGGCCGCGGAATTCACCAGTCGCCTGCCACAGAACGCTATATACGTGTGACAACCAGGCTGAGCGTCTGTCCAAGGAAGAGCGGAAGAGTACTTGCCTGCTCGCCTTGCTTGGGTTGGGACTGAATTATGGATGACAACCTCTCGCTTGGAGTGCACGAAGCACGCCCCCAACCGCCTCCAGGCAGAGAGCACCGACAAGTTTCCAGCGTCTTATTACCCCATTATTCTTTACAATAGGAGGGCTACATAAGGACTCAAACAACATTTACTGAGTATTGTACACGCAGTATTAAAATCATGGAACACAGACTGCCAGGTGTAGGCTGATTAAAACCTATATTACCTTTCAGAAGCATCGTACACAAAACCGTGGCGTTTCTTCACGACCATGAGGTGTTGCTCCACCAGAGGGCACTGTCTGTTTTTTTTTAAATTCTTTCTACAGTATCATGTGATTTTCATAAGGATTACAGTGTGCGTACCGGTGATAATTTTCGTGTATAAATTAAATCGAAATTCACAGTCCTCTCTGTGTGTCTGAGTTCTGTGGCGGGAAAATCGGAGCCCATCTTCAGTCTAGGGCAGTGGTTCTTAACCATATGCAAATTCACCGAACCCTTCATTAGTGACAAATAAAAATGTTTTTTCTTTTTACAAAATCAAGACATAAAAAATGTATTTATTAAAAACGGAAAAAAAGTAAACACAATAAGTATAAAGTATACGTTTTTTAACTGCACAAAATGAACCAGCCGGTGATGGCCTAGCGGGCATGTCATAATTAATTGACATGTTGAGTCGGGTGTGTCTTAACCTCCATGGCAGAGGCTCTGTCGAACCCCTGAAACTGGTTCACCGAACCCCGAGGGTTCCATCGAACCCGGGTTAAGAACCACTGGTCTAAGGTGTACGCTGCTTTTTTTGCCCAAAGTCACATGGGAGAGCTCATCCCGCAAGTGATTGGGAGAAATGGCATATAGAAAATAGACCTAAACATGTCCGCCTGCTAAATGTGGCTATATTACCTTTCAGAAGCATCGTACACAAAACCGTGGCGTTTCTTCACGACCATGAGGTGTTTCTCCACCAGAGGGCACTGTCTGTTTTTTAAAAATTCTTTCTACAGTATCATGTGATTTTCATAAGGATTACAGTGTGCGTACCGGTGATAATTTTCGTGTATAAATTAAATCGAAATTCACAGTCCTCTCTGTGTGTCTGAGTTCTGTGGCGGGAAAATCGGAGCCCATCTTCAGTCTAGGGCAGTGGTTCTTAACCATATGCAAATTCACCGAACCCTTCATTAGTGACAAATAAAAATGTTTTTTCTTTTTACAAAATCAAGACATAAAACGTATTTGTTAAAAACGGGAAAAAAAAGTAAACACAATAAGTATAAAGTAAACGTTTTTTAACTGCACAAAATGAACCAGCCGGTGATGGCCAAGCGGGCATGTCATAATTAATTGACATGTTGAGTCGGGTGTGTCTTAACCTCCATGGCAGAGGCTCTGTCGAACCCCTGAAACTGGTTCACCGAACCCCGAGGGTTCCATCGAACCCGGGTTAAGAACCACTGGTCTAAGGTGTACGCTGCTTTTTTGCCCAAAGTCACATGGGAGAGCTCATCCCGCAAGTGATTGGGAGAATTGGCATATAGAAAATAGACCTAAACATGTCCGCCTGCTAAATGTGGTGTCGATGCTCACTTTACAGCAAGTTTATGTCACTGCAACATCATCAAATGGAAGCGATGGAGGCAAGTGCGGTAGTGACTCAACGCAAATAAAAACATAAGTGAAAATAAAATCCTCAAACCGCACATTGGATCAGTACTAAAATGTAAGAGGTTCTTCTTCTGCCCAGCTTCTAGTATTAAAAAGAAATTCTGAAGTGGAAAAAAACAAACCAAAAATTGTTTTTTAGTCCGTTCAAATGAGTGAAGAACGAGCACAAAAGCCTGGGTCAGATCACAACTTGTGTGTTGTGTTAAAAGGTAACAAAACTATTCGTAAACCCATGTATAAAGAAACGCATTCATTAGGTATTTTCCAAAACATATTTATTTGGCTTTAATTACATTATTATTTACAGTATTCCAACCATAAGAGTTTCAAATCACTTATCAAAACACAATTATCTAAGAGTCCGTTCTTGTGCACGAAGAGTAATTTTGGCTAAACATTCAAATTCTCTTTCAGTGTCCAACAGTTCGCCTATGAATGCGAGGCATCCTCTGTGTCTACAATAAGCAGAAATCACTTGTTTTTTGCAGGGATAAAAACAGCCAATTTCTTGACTCACACATTGCAGGAGTAATACTGCCCCCTGCTGGCTTCATCTGTGGTACAAAACATGGACGCTGCTTCTTTCTGTCAAAGGGAGAAATTTTGTTGAGATTTTGACACATTCCATCTTCTTATACTTGAGTGACTGCCAGTGGATGGTATTTAGACTCCAATCAAACAAAAGAAACTATATCCAAGTGTGGCTCATCTCAAATCTGTCCACGTTTAATTAAAGTCCTGCTTTGTACTCTCTGGATCGGTTGACCGTTGCTACTTCACACAACACAGGGCTCATTTCATTGCGACTTTTTTAAGGAGGTCTTCCACATTTGTGCGATGTTCGATTAAGACCAACCTGCAAAATTATGTTGGGTTTTTTTTTTTTTTTTGGTGCTAACTGTTAAATGAGGGTGTAAAGTGTGAATGCTTTTATTCTGTAAACTGTTTGGATATCTCTCTTATTAAAGAAAAACTGCACAGCTAAACAGAAAAGCCGCGTAAAGAAATGTTAACATGAAAAGAGGAATCGACACATTGTAACATACTGTTTCCAATAACACCAGAGTGAAAGTCATTGGATGATGCTCCGCTGCAGATGCTTTCTTTGGGAACACAACAGCAGCAGTAAGAGCTCACAACCTGGTCAATATTTCAGCAATTTGATGCCAAACATGACCTCCACTGCAGTGCAACACCCCCCCCCCCCCCCATCCATCCATCCAGGCAGCGTCTGCTTTAAATCAAGTTAACCTGGCCATGCATATTTGTATTCACTCAAACAGCAAAATGGGATATGTGGGTGTGCAATTGGAAGATCTAGAAAATGCTATAAAGTCTCCGTCCTTAACTCGCTCATTTTTCTGATACTGAAGGCAGAAGTTATGATTGGGTCGGGGGCTGACGACTCGCAGTTAGAATGTGTAGCCTGCCGGGGGGGCTTTATCATCTTTGTTGCTCTCCAGGGAGAAAGGAGGAATGCGAACATCAAAATGGGAGCCGTCAGTCCTCTCGATGCGAAATGTTCCCCTGAACATAAAAAAAAAATAGGAAAGCGATGATGTTAATCGCACAGAGAAGTGTGGAATAAAAATAGCAGAAACACAAGCTTGGTGTTTACATCAAATACAGAAGAAAAACTCACCACATGTGACCGCTCGGGGCCTGTAGAGAGACATGGCTGCTGTACTGAAATGCTGGCTGCTCTTTGGACAACACTGGCTCCTTTAATCACACAATAAGAAGCCCAGAATGACAAAAAAAAAGGTTGTGATGCAAATATAGTACACGGCATTTATTTTTCTTGGCCACTTATCCTGTGATGTGGCCTTTGATTTTTTCCTCCCCAAACTGGTCTGAAAACGTTCGGGCCAACAACTGCAAACGTTAAACCTGTGCAATCTTTCTGTAGCAAATCTTCATAAGTTTATGGCCAGCGCCGAGTTGGGCCAAGCCACAGGCTCTGTGATTGTTATGTGAAAACAACAACAGCCATTGGAAGCTTGAGCTGTTGCCGGGAAATAAACAGAGGCATATAAATAAAACCCGTTCATTTGTACTCGAGCGGTTTATAACTTTTCTTTGTCTTTTGTGGTTTTCTGTGATAAAATCTAGAGCTGAAAGATTTTTGGAAAAAAGGTGAGATGCGACTTTTTTTTTTGACAGATATTGCAACTTCAAATTTTCTTCAAATCAAGGTTCAGTGTAGAAATGCAACGATGCATCGATTCACTGAAAACGAATCCATTATCAAACGCATCAATAACTACTTTGATAATCCATGAATCAATTTACTTTGTCAATGTTAGTTTAAAATTCCTTTAGTTACGTAGACTTAGATGAGTGGATCCGCCCCACGCAACTTGTAACTGTTTCCTATAGACACGGTGCAGAGCTAGCGTTTGCAAGCAGACAGGAAAGCAGGGACTCGGGGAGGATGGGTGACTGTGTGACATGAACGTGACGCTTTTTTCGCTGGCTCAGAGATGACGTGTTAGTGTGACCTGTCCACGAGTAGCATGCCACCGTTGACGGGTGATCGGGTGAAGCATGGGGGCAATAAGAGTGCTTTAAAAGAGACAAACAAACAAAATTTTTAAAAGCGCAGCTTTGACAATCACAAAATCGCATTGTCTAAGATCACAATTTCTATCCGACATCCAGAACGTGTTCAGCCCTAATAAAACTTGGGTCCATCCAGACAACTTATGAATTGAAGACACCAACAGCCTTGTGGAACCTAATTTGCTTAGAATTCGGGTAGCTTATTTCGTCACAAGCTTCTGCAGATGTGCCAGCAGTAATTTGGGGCCCCTTTGAAAAAGAAATCACTTTGGCCTCGCACCACTTTAACGGCATGAATTGATGTTCTGTTTTGAGTCATGACGAAGCGCGAGGAATCAGCATTGTGTGTCAGTCAGAGTGTGAGTGAGCCGCACTGACCCTGCCAACCACGCCGCGACCTCGGACAGTCTCCAGGGTTCCAGACAGGCTGAAAATCCTCCAGTGTCTCTCTCTCAGCTGAACCACCTCATTGCCCATGTTCTCCAAACGGATGCAGTATCGCCACTTGACAGGATGACACACAGTTAACACACAGAATCAAGTTAGAAAAAAAAAATCTGGCATAACATCAACAATGGAGGATATAAAAAAATGATGTGTGGGTTAGTTGCCTTTTGTTTTTAAATTGAATTATACGTTTTTTTGGGGGTGTTGTTTTTTGGACACCACAAGGGGGGGAGGGTTTATGACCAAGTAGGTGCATTAATAAAACTGTCTCGAAGGTAGTTAAGGTTATTCATCTATTTTATGGGCCTGTGTATGCATCATTGTTCCACTACTCACCCAGTATACATGAGAATTCTGGCCTTCCTAGATAGAGAGAGAGAAAGAATATCACAGTTAATATTTATAACTGTGTGACTTCCTTTGCCAAAACCGCTAAATACTCAATACAATACAATACAATACAATACATGCTGATTTATATAGCGCTTTCACAACAGCGGCAGCTGTAACAAAGCGCTTTACAAAACAGTTTACATAAAGTAAAATAATAAACACAACTCAAGGTTGAGAATCTCATTGGAAACCCAAAGCGCCACCATGACCACGCTAACAACAACATGAGGCTCTCGTGACGGCTTCTTAGCTGTAGCGCACGCCCATTATTTACCCGCATGCCCATGTAGAAAGGGATTACGGTGACCCGGATGTTCTCAGTGGTCTCCCTGTGGACGTCCGAGAGCTCCAACCAGGGGTGATTCTTTTCCTGCCATGCTTTGAGGGTGTCTCTGGCAATGAACGGAGGAGCTACGATGGACCAGAGAAGGACAAGTTCAGTGAGGAACAAAGCTTACACCAAAGGTGACAAGAGAAATGACAAGCGTGAGGAGGAGGAGGAGGAAGTACATAAGAAAGCGACATTCTTGGCAACTCTAGGGAGACAATAGACTGGGGGGGTGAGTGCTTACATTTGGCAGGGTTGTGCATGAGGAAGCGTTCAAACAGCTCATGTTGAATGGGGATCTGCTCTGCGGAGTTGTACGGCAGGATGTCTTCGTGGCTCACGTAGTCTAGGCCTGATGGAGAGAGAGACAAATTCAAAATATTGTGCGGGTACAAGACGCAGCGGTGGATGACTGCATCTTTGACAGCTTTCGGCAGATTTTCTTCATATAATGGCGGTGCTACTCAGAAGCGAGATCGATGAAAGACGGCACAGGCGCATACCTGGGATGGCGTAAAGCGCTCTGCTGTCATCATGGTTCGCCAGAAACGTCACTGCCTCCGTCTGAGACCTCTGAGACTGTCAAATGCAACACGAACCAACATTTATCAATAACAGGTGTAAATCAGTAAATCGGGGGCCTGCATGCAGTCAATTTCACCTTTTCAAAAGGCAAAGTGCACCTGAGATTCACAGTAGCTATCATCTCGTCAGCCTCTTAAAATGATAAACTAAGTCAAAATTTGATTTTTTTTTTTTTTTCCTTAAACACTTCCCCTGCTAAAATCGGCTACATCCTTCGTTAAAACAAGATCATTCAATTCTAGGCCTGAAATGAAATTAGATAAGATAAGATAACCTTTATTTGTCCCACACTGGGGAAATTTACAATTATTACTACATTAAAAAAAAAAAAAATCAGAATGTGGTTCCTTTTTTTTTTCCAGAAAAAATGACTTCGGCAGTTATTTTAAGGAGGTGACGGGATACAAAAACAGACAGAAATGATCAGGCAAGAACACAAAAGCTTACAACTATAGCATTGAGTTGCTGGCAATGCGCAAGCGCTCGCTGACAATAAATCCCACACAATACTAAATGTGATGCAAGAGACAAGCAAACAAAGTCCATAAAACAAGTAGTGCACTGCTCTCAAATAGAGTTTGATCGTGCGTTTGTGAACGAAAAGCTCAAAATAATGAACAATGCACTCCCATAAATAAAGAACATTAGGATTCTTTCCAAATTATTCAAAACTGAGCATTGGTGTGTGTGGTATTACATTAAATACACATAGTCCATTTCCTTTCAAGAAAAAAATGTAAAAAACAAGAATCCCCCTATGGCTCCGAATGAAAATATAACATTGCTAAATACAGAAACTTACAATGTGAGGGCAGTCTCTAGTATCAATCAGAACTTGGTAGTAAGTGTGAGTCTTCCCCTTCACTTCCTTTGAGCCATGGGCACCGGGGGGCTCCGGCTTGCTGGGGAGTAAATCAACAAATCAAATCAAAAGATATGAAGGTTGGGCCTGCGCAGGAGCAACATAGTCTAAAAATGCACAAACTCTGGAAAGCCTTGACTGACTCAAGATGTGTCATCTAGAAGGAGGAAGGGGCTTTACCTCTCAGACATGGGCGGTGTGATGTCTCGATCGTACAGTCTGGCATGCCACGGAAACAAGACGATACCTCGATAGCCAAAGACGCTGTGGAGAAAGAGCTGAGAACAACACAAGAGATGGGCGCTCACAATGTGACATTGAATATGAGATCAGGTTCACCTCGGCGAAAATGAAATGAGATCAAACGTCTTATGCAAGGCATCATACTCAGGTGTTAAAAATGTATTTGCTTAAAAGCTAGGAACATCACAACGTTAAATGAAATTGGGAAAACTCAAAATAGGTCAGGATGGACCAAGAATGTGTTCCCCGGCATCCAACCTGCGACCCCTCCAAAGTATGGCGGTCCAACAAGAATGACCATGCAATTTTTTACCTGCCCCGTCTCGTATTTGCCGTGCTGCTTCAGAGCCTCAAACACCCCCACCGTCTCCAAAATCTTCCCCTCAGGCCTGTTCCTGCCAAATAGAGGCAACGTCAATAAAAACTGGCTTGGGTTTACGGCAAACACATTTTTAGCTTTCACAAGGACAATTTTGTGGTGAGACCCACGACCGTACCGACAGTATGCCTGTGCATTACATAAGAGCTATGGTCTTTCTTTCTGGAACGTGAGCATTCATTACAGAACGACGCAGAGTCAAGTGCAGTATTTTAGAAAATGTTCACTTTCGGACCACATGGTCAAAACAACATTGAGTGAACGCCAATAGATCAGGGGCGTCCACGCTCAGTCCTTGAGGGCCGCTGCCCTCCCCGTTTTCCATTTCTCCCGGATTCAAATAATCAGGTTCCTTGTAATGCTGCTTCACAGCCGGCTGGTGAGCTAATCATTTGCATCAGAGGTGTGTTGAAGCCGGGAGAGAAATTTGAATCAATAACTGGCTCTATGACAACCACCAAAAATTGGTACAGTTTAGTACCAGTACAAACAAGTTCAAATGTGAATGGCACCAATCCTCAGTTGTAGATCTTAGGTACGAGAGAAGGGTTTACGCATTACACAGATGACAACTTCAAACAATTGAGTTATACGTCACTGGTCAGAAGCGAATGCTGTTCGCCCCCACTAATCTGTGCTTCAAAAACTGTAGTTCTGCTTGATGGTTTGTCACTTTTAACAGCATAGTTTTTCCGTGTTGTTGGCCATGACTTGCAAATGGTGAGCCTAACCCTTACCTTAAGATGCCAACTAAAGAGCAGAGATACTCAGTGTGATGGGTGTCATCTAGATCAGGGGTCCCCAACCGCCGGTCCGCGGACCGGTACCGGTCCGCGGACCGGCGGTTGGGGACCCCTGATCTAGATGTTTCATCCGTCATCAAAATGGCTTGACTGGTAGGCAAATGAGGTGTAGTCCAGCACTCAGAGTGTAATAAAACTTGGCCTGCATGATAAGTTTTCAGAATTCGGCCCTGTTCAAATGCCAAGCTTATGACCAAGATAATTAAATGGACCTATTATAACCATCCATCCATCCATCCATTTTGCGATCCGCTTTATCCTCGCAAGGGTCTCGGGGGGTGCTGGAGTCTATCCCAGCTGTCTTCGGGCAGTAGGCAGGGGACACCCTGAAGTGGTTGCCAGCCAATCGCAGGGCACATAGAGACAAACAACCATCTGCGCTCACACTCACACCAAGGGACAATTTAGAGTGTTCAATTGGTCTGCCTTGCATGGTTTTGGAACGTGGGAGGAAACCGGAGTACCCGGAGAAAACCCACGCAGGCCCGGGGAGAACATGCAAACTCCACACAGGAAGGCCGGAGCCGGGATTGAACCCATGACCTCTGCACTGTGAGGTCCACGAGCTAACCACTGGGCCAATGGGCCGCCCCTATTATAACCTGTACAACTCAATTGAATCCCTACAATAACCTCTGAACTTCATTTGAAGTTAATCGGTGGCAGTGTCAAAGGTGGCTGGCAGGTGTGTGCTGACTCCCATTTAACTCGAGTTTGAATGGGATTGACTCATTGTGCAAAACCACATCCCAAGTAATGAGAGGGTGTGTACACTTGTGCAACCACATTATCACAGTTGATTATTTCTTTAATTAGCCTCTCGATATGACGGTCACAGGCCTTGTGTATACTGTACCAAAAAAAAAAAAAAAGTTTCTTTAGTAGATGGCGGTGTTGCTTTGTCAATACAACCTGAGTGCAAGCGCACTCACTGTTCACCTGAGTCTTGTCCATGTCTGACAGACATCTATAAATAACTGAACACAGTCCAGAGGCAGTAGATGAACATTTTGCTCAATAAAAAAAAAAAAAAAACAACAACAATAATAGTGCTGTTGTCCAGCGTTGATTTTTTGGTTGTGACATAGTTGCCACATGCCCAAACTGAACACACAAGTCCATGGCCATACTCGCACTCCAAAACAGTGTTGTCATATAAACAAACTGTTTTGTGTCAATGGCCCTCTTGTAAAAGGCTTTTCTGTTATTGTGTGTTCATCACATTCCACTGAGATGTTGATTTTATGTTCTATTCAGCTTTGTTTATGATAGAAAAGATTCCCTCTTATAGAAATAATCTACATGATCCCTACAGGAGAGTAAATCCCACTTCCTCATTGAGCCTTCGCTTGCTCCAGTCGTAATCTCAATTGTAACTTTGACAAGATTGCGTAGAACACCTTGAATGCATTTTAATGAAGAGTGAACACCAATACCAACTTTGAACTGTGCGACAGTCGGTGTGTCTGTGTCACATAACAAGAGTACCTATTTTCTGCACTATAAGGCATTTTAGATTATAAGGTGCAGCTTCAATGAATGGCCTATTTTAAAACTGTTTTTATACATAGGCCCCCATGCATTATAAGGCGCATAAAATAGAAGCTACAATCGTGGCTGCGGCTGCGAACCATCCCAACACCTACCTATCAACCGTGGCCATAATGTAATGCATTTTAATGAAGAGTGAACACCAATACAAACTTTGAAATGTGCAACAGTCAGTGTGTCTGTGTCACATAACAAGAGTACCGTATTTTCTGCACTATAAGGCGTTTTAGATTATAAGGTGCACCTTCAATGAATGGCCGATTTTAAAACTGTTTTTATACATAGGACCCCATGCATTATAAGGCGCACAGAATAGAAGCTACAATAGTGGCTGCGGTTAGGCTATGTATCCACTAGATGGTGCTACGCTAAAGGGAATACAGTACAGCTTTATTTAAATAGAGCCTTCACAACCGCTGCAGCTCTAACAAAGCCATGAGAACTGGTCACAAACACGGACATGAAACATAAATACAAATGGCATTACAAAACAATAAAATGAAAGACAAAAGTTATGAACACAACTGATTCAATAAAAAGGCAAACAAACGCCCTGGGCGCAAATCCATGAAGGGCTAAATATCCTGAGAGGTCTTGCTTGTCTCCTCCTTCCTTCGTTTAGTCATTGGTTAACTATGGTTTGGTATTATCTTCATTTCATATTGGCTGCGCAGAGCTCACAAACTGGTTGTCTGTTGGCGTGTCAATTAGTGTCAGGCAGAACCCTTTTAGGTTACAATTGGTTCCTGCTAATAATCACCACTACATGGCAGAGGAACATTAACAGAGAAACAACTCCAAGTGGAATATAAAGAACTCCATATCTAAGGCGCATCGGAATTCAGGGCGCACTGTCGGCTTTTGAGAAAATTGAATGCTTATAGGTAAAAAGACAAACAAACGCCCTGGGCGCAAATCCACAAAGGGCGAAATATCCTGAGAGGTCTTGCTTGTCTCCTCCTTCCTTCGTTTAGTCATTGGTTAACTATGCTTTGGGTATTAGCTTCATTCTTTATTTAAATAGAGCCTTCACAACCGCTGCAGCTCTAACAAAGCCATGAGAACTGGTCACAAACACGGACATGAAACATAAATACAAATGGCATTACAAAACAATAAAATGAAAGACAAAAGTTATGAACACAACTGATTCAATAAAAAGGCAAACAAACGCCCTGGGCGCAAATCCATGAAGGGCTAAATATCCTGAGAGGTCTTGCTTGTCTCCTCCTTCCTTCGTTTAGTCATTGGTTAACTATGCTTTGGGTATTAGCTTCATTTCATAATGGCTGCGCAGAGCTCACAAACTACTTGTCTGTTGGCGTGTCAATTAGTGTCGGGCAGAACCCTTTTAGGTTACAATTGGTTCCTGCTAATAATCACCACTAGATGGCATAGGAACATTATCATGAACACAACTGATTCAATAAAAAGGCAAACAAACGCCCTGGGCGCAAATCCATGAAGGGCTAAATATCCTGAGAGGTCTTGCTTGTCTCCTCCTTCCTTCGTTTAGTCATTGGTTAACTATGCTTTGGGTATTAGCTTCATTTCATAATGGCTGCGCAGAGCTCACAAACTACTTGTCTGTTGGCGTGTCAATTAGTGTCGGGCAGAACCCTTTTAGGTTACAATTGGTTCCTGCTAATAATCACCACTAGATGGCATAGGAACATTATCAGAGAAACAACTCAAAGTGGATAAAGAACTCCATATATAAGGCGCATCGGAATTCAGGGCGCATTGTAGGCTTTTGAGAAAATTGAATGCTTATAGAGATGCCTTATAGTGCAGAAAGTACAGTACCTGAGTGCAAGTACTCTGGTCTCTGGACATACGATTTGGGACTGGTTTTTAAAAGTAGTCACACAATGAGAAAAATAAAATTGATTCAAGATTGTTCAAGATGCACCAAGATCATGTTTGGTATTATCTTCATTTCATATTGGCTGCGCAGAGCTCACAAACTGGTTGTCTGTTGGCGTGTCAATTAGTGTCAGGCAGAACCCTTTTAGGTTACAATTGGTTCCTGCTAATAATCACCACTACATGGCAGAGGAACATTAACAGAGAAACAACTCCAAGTGGAATATAAAGAACTCCATATCTAAGGCGCATCGGAATTCAGGGCGCACTGTCGGCTTTTGAGAAAATTGAATGCTTATAGGGATGCCTTATAGTGCAGAAAATACAGTACCTGAGTGCAAGTACCCTGGTCTCTGGACATACGATTTGGGACTGGCTGTTAAAAGTAGTCACACAATGAGAAAAATAAAATTGATTCAAGATTGTTCAAGATGCACCAAGATCATCAAATATAAGTTCATAACCGAATTGAATGATGAGGTGGCGAGATTTCCGGCCTACAACAGAGATATGAGTTTTTGATCATTTTTTGGTTAATCCAGTTAATTTGTTATAGACGTTGACACAACACCTTAATGCCACTGTTGTCATTTGGGGATATTGATAGATATAGATTATCTCCATAGCCATGACAGCCAACAGTGGCATTCAAACTTCCCACAACAAAACCGTAATTATTAATAACTATTTTAAAAAAAAGGCCTTCAAGGCATGCTGAGTATACTTTCAAACTGCACAAGTATAGTAGTTTGCATTTTTGAACCTCAGCAAAACACAAAGCTAACAAAACTGAGAATCGCAGATTTTTAAGGTTTTCTTTTAATTCACATTTACTGACTTGTCAGTCAACAAAAAAAAAAAAAACTACACAAATGCTATTTTTTGATTGGATCGTCGAGAGCGAAGGGGTGGAACCTCCGCCTGCCAACGCAAACAAAGACTTTCTGCCCCCATGACACATGAAGAGGCTAAAAATAGATTGTTTGGGCTCGCGTATACACTATGGAATCACAGAATGGCCCCGGAGTAAACGAGGTGGCGTCTTATTTTGTGGATCCGATCAATAATGTCATTGATTGATCAGGCAAATTATGACATTACAGTGGATCACCGATTTTGCATAAAATGAAAAATATCTGCTGACTTCGATCCAGTTGAGCAGATCGGTGTAAAGTCAAACATCGTGTCATCCTGGAAAAAATAAATAAATAGCGAGAGAGAGAGAGAGAGAGAGAGAGAGAGTTCGTGTCATCCTGGAAAAAATAAATAAATAGTGAGAGAGAGAGAGAGATTTTTTTTTCAAACAAACACTCAATTATTTGATTGAGTTTTCAATAACATATCCGAATACCAAAATAGTCGATCAACCAAACACTCAATTATTTGATTGAGTTTTCAATAACATATCCGAATACCAAAATAGTCGATAACTGCAGCCCCGCACTCGACTACCTTCTTCTTTATCTCTTATCAACATCTCTTATCTAAAAACTCCTTTTACACAGTGCCCGAAAAATTCAGACATCACATCCCTTCAGAAAAAACTGATAATCTTGTGTTATGAAAATTCAACCTCTGAAACAGTTAATTTATAATCACTTCCAACTGAATAATCGAGAGGCATACTTGAATCTTACTTGAAGCACTGTGTTGTATTTATTTACACTTCATTGCATTCCTTGAAAAGTGGGTTGCACAACCAGATATTTTCAGTGGCATTTGCTTGGCCACTTGATATTTGTATTGAATTTTATTCCTCTTTTTTTCCCTGTTATTCTGTGGTCTACAGTTCATAAATTATATTTTATGAAGGAAAACAAAATCATTTAAAAACGGCCATTAATTTAATGTAATTTAAAGGGAAAATAATATATCAGGATAATTATCATTACAGTTACCTATATCGGGATGTAAATGTTCATCCTCAACTCATTATATACAAAACAAAGTAGCAAAAAAATGGCTCATATACACTTAACATCCTCTCTCACATTAACTATTGATTTCATTTATGTTGCTTTGCTTTGTAGTGATTCACTGTAGCTGTGCTGCAATCCAGCATATTATGCAACAGCTTGAAGAAGCACACACCACAGCTCTCTCTTCACACTTTGTAATATTGCCAGAGATAAATATGGACAAGCTCAGCGAGTTACCCGCAAAAGACTGACCCACAAAGACTGGCAAGACAGAAAATGAAATGCTAAACATGTTACATAAGATTAATTCAGGCTACGTTCAAACTGCAAGTGGTGATGCCCAATTCAGATTTTTTTTTTTTGTTAAATGTGATCTTTTTATGTCGTAAATCATTCACATTACAAAGACAAAATGCAACTTCTAATATGAACGCATGTCCAAAACGTGAAGCACATGCGCGCAAAGCGCGACATTGAAGGACAAACACAAACACACTCCCTATTCTAAAATTACAAAAAAAAAGCAATTCGAATTATTAATAGATCAAAATATACGGAACCCACAAATCCACCATTTTATCAAATTAAATACGATGAAATTTTATGACCTGGTTGACTTTAAAATCGCCCAATTAATGTACAAAGCACACAATAATCTGCTCTGCCAAAACATTCTGAAGTTTTTCAAAATTCGAGAAAGCAGCTATGATTTAAGAGGTACCAACTTATTCAAAAAATTCAAAACAAGAACAAACATCAAGCAAAGAAGTGTATCTGTCAAAGGTGTTAATCTGTGGAATAATTTCGAAACGGACCTGAAAATGAGTAAATCGCTTGCTGAGTTCAAAAACAAATTAAAAAAATAGTACAAACAACCTACATCAATCAGAGTTAATGTGATAAATTCTAAACATTAATTAAATATAATAATAAATCAGAGTTAAGTTGATAAATAGAGAAAAGTACTGCAATATCCATTACGAATACAAGAGAAAATTGACACAAGAGTGCCAGGGTGTGTATGTATAAAATCCCGATACAAACCAAAAGTTGTAAAAATATCATGGTTAAGGGTAAAAGCATGAGCCTTTATGGAGACTTCTTTCTTCTTACTTTCTTTCTTTTCTGATTGATATAAAAATGATCTATTTATATATAAACGCATAACACGGGGTAGGACTAGATAAGTTTTTTACTTCTTCCTACTCCCTTGAACATAATAATTGTGTTTGAATGATGACTGATTTCTCTTTCCTTTTTACTATTTTACTTACCTTACTTTCTGTCAACTTATTAATGTATATGTTTTTATGTTCAATAAACAAATGAAACAAAACGTGCAGTAAAAAAAAAAATAGCGTAGTGTTTCCGAAGGTAAATGTGGTCCCACGTGTAGGGGCTTCATTTTATCACCTCATATTGCCAGAGTAGCATGGCGGGAGGAGGTAGACACATTTTTAGGATCTGAGGCAACGCTCATCAAGCTCCTCATTTAATGGTGACGTCTACTAAAGATGATGTCACGTCATTGTCGTGTGCACTAAATGTCTGCGTGGCTAAATTATTACTATCACCACAAATGTCTGCTTTATGTTTCATGTTTCAAGTGCGATGACTGGTAAATTCAAGTCAAATATAAAGACTACATTTTTACTCAAGACGTTGCAGATTCACGATTGTCAGTAGTCGCCGTCCCAAACGTTCTCCCTCTCTCGTGCAGAGCGAATATGAGGCTCTAGATGACGTACAGGTCGGATGTGTGCGGATGAGCATTCCTACAGCAGAGGCAGCGCATACATAACTGATTTCGAACCACATATGAAAGAAGCCCAATGACATTTGGAAAAAAAAAACAACATTGAATTGTACCCTTCACACTGCATGAAAGAAATCGGATATGTCACATATGGGCAAAAAAGAAAGCGGAGGTGGCGAATCACTGCTGTCAATCCAACCACAGAGGGGGCTCTGTTTTATACAATTAGTCCAATTCAGCCAAAAGGCCATCTACGAATTATTTTAACATCACTAATAGTATAAAGAGAAAAAAATCAAACTGGCTTTTGCAGGACAAAAAGTCAAATGAAAGAGAGGAGCATAACACGTGGTAGGCCTGTGGCTACCGAGACACAAAACCTGTTATTGAATATAAACTGGAACAATGACATTGCATTAGCTCACAGAGCGTCCCTGTTCCCTGAATTAGCTTCTTGATACTAAATTAAACCATCAAGAAAGTAGTACTATGCTATATTTAAATATACAACCCCCAACTCCAATGAAGTTAGGATGTTGTGTTCAATGTAAATCAAACTAGAGGTGGGCATTCCGTCAGCAAGGTCCATCTATCCGTCACTGATGAATGCAGTCTTGCTGACAAATGATGGGAAACTTCCAAAAAACTGACAGAAGTGGGTTTTGATCCGTCACTGCAATTGTCGCTCACTGTCATTACCGAAGGACACGATTTGTAAAAGTATTATTAGAAGAACAACTAGATACAAGATTTTGAGGAAAACACATTGTCAAAGTGCTTCCGGTCACGAACGACCAGGCATTACCAAATCTACGCTAGACAAATGCCCATGAACGCCACAAGTCAGCTACGCCACAGTTTTAAAGCCCTTGGGAGACACAGGCTGATATTTATAAATGAGTTTAAAACGAGTGTGGTGCACTCAGTGCACCACATGTAAATGTTGACACACGAGTTTTTTTTTTTCCTCAAAGGATACCATCTTCAGGAAGGAACACGCGCATAGCTTGGTCTTTAGCTTGTTAGCTGTGACAGGAGGAGGGCACTGGCGATGTCTCTTACCGTGACGACATGAACCTCTTCTGTTGAACGACACCGTACATTCCGCAGGCTCGGCATTCCAACTGTGATCTATTTAATTCGAACCTACTGTCAGCCACGCTTAATAATCTATGTGCGTGTTTATTGTTGTATTTACTGAAAGTACTCAGCAGACCTCTACGTAACGCACAGGCCGCCATCTTTGTTGGTGGTGGCACGCTTCTACGCATGCACACGCATACGTACGTACTTACTGGGTAGCGATGCTGCCTTCAGGGACAAAGAAAATAGTACGAACTGGAGCTCATGTTTATTACGAAAGTCATTTACATTGACCGTTTTGTCAGCCTACTGTGTACGACTTGACGTCTGTGGTTAACTTACTTGTTCAGATGACTTTTTTGTCATTCATTAGGTTTGAGAAGAATACTTCAAAAGTTAAAAAAAATATTATTCGAATAATATAATTTCTGACAATTAAAATGATCAAAATCTAGTAATAGTAATGATAAAAACAGAAACTGCATTCTTTGTATTTTATTTCATTTGACGAAGTGTTGTGAGGTGGTATGTTGAAAATACAGGGAAACTTGAAGGCCCCAAAAACAATCACGTGGAATGACACGTGGAGCACATGATATGAATTTGAAACAATATATTAACGTTCATTTCCTCCCATAATCATCTAACAAAACATTATAAACTGAAGCTTTTTTCACTTTTTGAATGTGTAATTTAAAAATCAGTTTACACAAGTGATCATGTGATTCTTACGTCATGTGGTCACGGGGTAAAAACATGGCCGACTGCATGTAATCGGCTTGATCTCGTGAACCGCTTTCTAACATAGCGGTCATATACATATCCCTTTGTTGCACATTCTCTGCGAATATACTCTATATTGGCCTCATTAGATGTAATTATGGCTTCGGCGTTCGTGGTCGGGGATCAGTTCAGAAACAGGGTGACAGAACTGTTGGAACGGACTGACTCATCTCTTCCTGAAGAGCTGAAAACGCAACTGGGGGCTCTCGTTGAAAAGAAAGGACAAATAACCCTAGCCTTTCATACAGCGAGACAACTGAAGAAGTACCTTCAGGATGAAGGTAATGTGATGTCACCGCAAGCATATTTTCTCAGCCCCCACCCCCACATCACACACACACATATGCAGACAAAGTTACCTATTTGACTATATTATTTACTTGAAACATAATATTTGCGTAGTTTTCAATAAATGAAACCAAATGCGATTTTAGAAGTGACACCTAGATTTACGGTGTTTATATACGTGAATTATATTGTGGATTTAGACCATACTTTTTAATGGCTCTTTTTTTTCTAGGCCATCCATTCTATTTGCATGATTTGTTGGAGGATAGTTCACTGCACCTGCCAGAGTTTGTGAAGCCCCCCAGAGTAAGTCGATTACAGTTGATTTAATTTGAAATGTTGATATTGAGAAAAATTCACATTTCCTGTTTTAATTTTTACAGTTGGACAATGTTCTTGAAGACATTTAAGTGTTAACATTTTTGTTGTTACAAGAAGTTAATGTAATGAACTGTTTCAGCATCTTCACCACTGGTTTTGTGAACACTGTCTTGATATATATGCAAAGTGAGCTGCAAGAGCACGGAACACAAATATGATGATTTTCTCTAATGACAGAACCCTGAGCTGGTCGCACGTTTGGAAATCATTAAAGCCAGGCTAGCAAACGAGGAATACAACAAGATGACCCGAAATGTTAACAATCAGGTAAATAATATTGTCGTTGCTTATAGGGACAGAATTTACATTATCCATCCATTTAGTTTCCAAATTGCTTATTCTGACTAGCATTTAAAATATTTTATCCAAGCAGGTTTAACATTTGTAATTGTTAGATTGGGCAAGATTAGAGTCAGATTCAGACAACTGTATCAATCCCACTAGACAGGGCAATTACTGCAGTAAAGCTACATTAAAGAATTAAAAATAATCATTTGAATGAGTTGAGATTTTGCAATAATGGTTAGTCCCATAGTAATGTGGTTAAATGACATCTTGAAGACAACAGAGACCGTTTGTTATTTTCAACAGTACTATAATATTGTGCTTTTTTTTTTTAACCAGCATGAAAATAGTCACAATATGGTTTGTATAGTCTTCAGTCCATAGTTTTTTTCCGCTTAGATTTCTTTCCCCCCATTATTTTGCACCTAGAGGCACCCATACTCCTCCCTTCATCTGTTACACGAGGCCACTATTTCATCACTGCAAACTCTTGCCTATCGATTATATTTCTACTCCTGTGCAGGAAATGAACCGGACTGGAACACTGGCAGATTTTGGACAGCAAGGTTCGTGTGTTGTATGGTTTCCATGTCCCTCCAAGGGGACACATTATGTAACAATTCACTGTGTCATAATTGCTTCCACTGTGGGGGGTCCTGAGTTAACTCATTCACTGGTAAAAACAAGGGACCTTTGCACTTCTATAGCCATCACGCTAAAGGAATACAATATCATACAGCTTTGTTTCTGTAGAGCCTTCCCAACCGCTACAGCTGGAATAAAGCGCTTTACAGAACATTTAGAATACTCTGTCCAAGAAATCAGAATATTGATCCATATAGAAGGAGAATCGGATTATTAGGCGCACTGTCGGCTTTTGAGAAAATTGAATGGCCATTTGTCAGTAATATTGTGAAAATGAGTGGAAAGTTGAATCCTAACTTTGTAAGTTGATTCACAGTGTGCGCCCCTAAATTTTCTACTCGCACCCCTAAAATTTAAGGTTAGGAGCCACTGTTCTCCAAGTAAAAAAAAAATAGTCTGGAGCCCTGAGGGTAATCGTCCTTTTCATGTTTTGCAATTGAATCTTTTATATTATATATATATTAGATTTTTCTTTTTTTATTGAAAGCATGTCACAGAACATGCTGAGGAAGCACCTGCAAACTGTTTTAAATAGTGAAAATAAAATTGGAATATGTCCCCTTTAGATAATATTTCTAGATCAGTATCATATAATAAATAACACACGACATTATTTACACTGTACATCTTTTCTGTTTCTGAAGTCCGATCAGCCAAAGCTGTGGCCGTGACTGTTTTCAACTTCCTGGTGACAATAGTTGCTACGTTTGCCTGCTCCTACATGGGCAGTCAATACCTATTCACAGAAACAACAGCGGTAAGAATTTGTCTTTGTTCTCTATTGAGCTACGACTGAAATGATTTGTTCCGCCATAACGCACTTACGTAACCTGTGTACCTCAAATTTCAGATGTTGTGTTGAGACTAGAGTATCCCAAAACATGTTAATTGTGATCAAATTTTTTTTCCTAGCGAGTGATATCTGCTGTGATTGCAACATCTGTAGTGGGGCTAGCTGAGCTGTATGTCCTGGTCCGGACCATGGAGGGGGAACTCGGGGAACCCTAGCGCAACGAACGAGGGAACTACACCAAAGTCGGGAAAAAAAAACTCCATTTAATAATATCATACTGTGTTCTCATTATTGGACTAACAGAGCCTTCACACATGAGCATTTCGCTTTCTTGGAAAGTTTTTGGGATGGGATTCTTGGGGGGCAGGGGGCATTATGAATGGTTTAAAAAGTGCAGAAATAGTACTTATGGTTATAGCTTTTTGGGCGAGTGTTTTACAGATCTTTAAATACAGTAAACCCCCTCTATTTGCAATGTATAGGGATCAAGGTCTGCTGCGAAGAGCAAAAAAAAAAAAATGTTATCGAGCTACTCTCCCAAAAGAATGTTTATAAATGAAATAGTTCTCATGAATTCTCATGAATAAATCCGAATAAAATGACTACCTGTGATATTCTTTTGATTTTGATCTTTAGTAAAAAAAAAACAAAAAAAAAAACCCAAAAAAAAACCATACATATACTGTTTTTGTAGTTTTCAACTGGGTCCTTATTTCAAAAGCTTACCTTGAAAGTGTTAATATTTACAGGGCGTGTGTTGACTCCGGTTGAATGATGATGATATCAGTTGATTGAGTTGCATCAGCGAAACAAAACAGCCAAGCTCATGAGGTCAGATGCCGTTAAATTAGAATCGATCAATTCAATTATTTTTATTGTAAGTGTTTAAGGAGCAATTGCTGTACATTTCATTTGGTACACGTATCTTCCACCCATGCAGAACCGTTTTCCACATTGTTTGTTTATTTATTGTTTTTAGCACTATTTAATTAGGTAAGAGCCTGATTAAGTTATACAGGGGAATACTTTTAAAGAGCACTTTTCAAGCTACATCTGTTAATGACCCACCAATTATAATACCGTATTTTCCAGGGTTGGCCAAGGTGTGATTTATACTCTGGAGCTACTTATGTGTGAAATTATTAACACATTATTATATCATTTTACATGTTCTTTTCACACTAAACCGTACGAGGGCGCTCTAGGCATGTGTTGATAAATCGACGAGTCGGACGTCTGCGTTGTAGAAGAAATAACGCCGCATCTTCCACCTCCGGAGTTTGCGAAGTTGTTTAAAAGTGACACTGAGGATGAAAATTTCAGTGGCTTTATTTATTTTTCATTGGATGGAGTGACACTGATGATTTTGGTAAACTTCTTAGCATGTTTTTTATGCTGTAGTTTTCTGAATAACTCATAATATGTTACGTAATGTTAGCATATCGTACACTTATTCAGCGTGCTGTCTATTTTATTTTTATTTTAAATTGCCTTTCAAGATGACATGTCTGTTCTTGGTGTTGGATTTTATCAAATAAATATTCCCAAAAAACGCGATTTATACTCCAGTGCAGTTTGTTTTTTTTTCTTCTTTATGATGTATTTTATGGCTGGTGCGATTTCTACTCCAGAGCAATTAATAATCCGGATAATGCTGTGATAATAAAAAAGTCCTTGAATTGCTAGTGCAATTTAGGTCTGTCCATGAGTCAAAGAAAGAATGAGCACTAAGGAATCTAGTATTTATCATGTTAAACTTTATGCATTGTCTAACACCAAGGAGAACGATTGTAGCATTGACTGGCAATGCCTTTAAATCTGCCAGAAAATAATTTCAATCAAGGAATCTCTCTTAAGAGATCAATGTATTTAATTTAAAAAAAATATTTAAACTTTCGCCATTGTCAGTGTGTTGTGAACAAATGCAGTTTATTTGTATTTACCAGTGTAACCAGGTTGCTCTTCTAGAATGCTCTTCACATAAATCTGCATGTTTATTTTCACCCTTCTCAAATATGTAAACTAGTCGTCAAGCTGTCTATGCATGTCTCATGTCAGATGTCACCAAAACACATACAAAAAGATTACCGTCCATGATCACCAATTTAAAAACAATTCAAACAAGACTGAGCTGATCAGTCTTTTCTGATCCCTTCTTGAGATATAAATTATTATTTTTGTTGCCTTATTTTTTATTTTTTTGCCTGCGTCCTCTTGTTTGGTCCTATCGCATAAATGGGAGGATTAAAAGATGTAACTACATCTGGAGGGGAAAAAGTATTTTCCTGAATTCTGAGATTTGACACCCGGATTAAAGGTTTATTGAAAGATTATTTGGTATTAAAGATGATTGTGATATGCAGAGATCACTGTCCACTGCACGACTGTCTTGTCCATCCGTCATGTTCGTGTATGTATTAAACTTCTCATGTAATATTTCAAAACTTAAATCCAAGCATAATTACAGGACCTGTAAGCTGATAGACCCCAAAGCTTTGGCTTTAATTTTCATTAGTTTATTCCGCCAGCCTACTGTATGTAACCCTCATGATACTTACAGAGTAGAGAGATTTTGAAAACAACTATTCCTTTCATGGGATCCCTGCACAAGGAATGATTTTAATCAGGATGTTTTTCAAAATAATTCTCAGAGAGCCACAGTATATAGTAACCCGCCACAGTTCATCTTAGACCATGTTAATAACACTTGGCCGCTGTGAGGACAATATATGTATGGCCTTGATTCCTTTGAGTGGAGTGGAGAAAAGCAGGCTTACTGTGAACCTGTTATGTTCATGGGCTACCTTCTCAATTCGTCCTCCATTTTGTTAAAGGGCATGAAATTCAAACAATGTGCAAAACTTGGGCATCTTCCAGTGAACCTCACAGTACAGTACTTCCATTTTCTCTACCACTTGTTCTCATTAAGATCACGGATGAGCTTGAATCTATAGCATGTAAGCTAGCAAGCTAATGAGCTTGTTCATCTGCGGCAGGGTTGTGTGAAATGTTAACACCTGGGTTCAGTGTCAATTCTCAATCCAGAAAGTAAAAACCTTGCCAGTTTGGCATTAATAGAAGTACAGTTAAGTGAATGAACTACCCACGAGAGTAGAAGCATCTGCGGCTAAAGCCAAACTGTGGCTTTTTTTTTTTCCGGACCTGGATTTGACATCTGTGATGGTGGTTGTATGTGAGTTCCCACATAACAACAGAGATGGGAAATTCAGGTCCAGAAAGTAAAAACCTTGCTTACAGTTTGACTTTGGCCACTGGTTCTTCTACTCAACCGGCAGGTAAACAAGCTTGTTTATCTGATAGATGTACCTGTTTTATATCTGACTGATGAAACACTTTTTTTAAAAAAAAGGGGGCTTTTTAGCGTAGATTTTAAAGATGATCTGTTCATGATGAGGCAGCATGGTGAAAGACTGGTTAGTACATTCACCTCACAGTGCGAAGGTTGTGGGTTTGAATCCAGACTGCGTCCTTGCTTTGTGGAGTTTGCAGATTCTAAAAGTTGCACACATTCCAAAAACATGCATGACACGTTAGATGGGCACTGATGCCCATCCGTGATGATCAGATCATTAACGTTTCGTTGATGAAAGGATGAGAAACTTTCAGGACAGCCACCATTGCAGCTGTCCACCAACAGGTACTGTATATATTTTAAAGTAGAAGGCATTTCTTAATAAAAGACACTTGGCAGCCGACCAGAAAGTTGTCCAAATGCAAGGACTCTGACCATGAGAGACAAAATTCTCTGTCTAATTAGATAAAGATTAACCTAGTTGGTGTGAATGCCAGATGTAATATTTGGAGGCAACCAAGCACTGCTCATCACCTGGCCAAGTAAAATATGAATAATTAATTAATTTACGAAACACAGTCTGTAAGCAAAAGTAAAGCATGGTGTTGGGATCATGCTGTGGGGATGTTTTTCAGCAGCAGGAACTGGAAGATGAGTCAGGGTTGAGGGAAAGATGACATTGATCAGGGCACAGGCAGACGGATTCAGACCTCTGTCGGTATTTGTGCTGGGTTTTTTTTTGTTTTGTTTTTTGTTTTCAAATCATCCCACTGGCTGGCACAGCTTCATAGAGATGGTGGCACACAAACAGTCGGGTTTGGATGGTGATCTGCAACTGCCACTTCACAGCAGATCTTTGCGATCTCCTCCAAAGCTAACTTTACCTCATCCACCAGTGGAGGTCTGCTTGCAGTTCCATTTAAATGTATTTTGTGTGCTTAAACTTCCTGGACGAGCAAATCAGTTTCTTGTTTCGAAAAATTTTGCTGTCCATGCTCCGCCATGTCGAAACTGTCAGTGCACTACAAGTGTGCCACATTTAAAAGGAATGTCAGGGGTTGGACATGACTGAAGTTGGCTGTGTTTACTCTCATAGCGGCGCAGACTTCCCTCTTTTAAATACAGCGGTTTGCACTGGTCTGCGAAATTTAAAAAATGCCTGGTCTAACCCGCATCCATGCAAATGGAGCCTTTGGAGTTTGAACCAACACATGAGAAGTCAACGTGTCATCATGAGATTTCTGCTTTGGAGGCATCTGAATGATTAACTGCGCAACGTTAAATGTTTTACCTTTCCTTTGGCTTTTTTTTTTTTTTTTGTGATGACACCAGAGTGATCAGGCAATGCATGACAACCATCGAACTCAAACTGGAACATACTGCAGCATACTGTATTCAAGTTTTTTTTATTTTTTTTTAAGGATTTAGTACGCTACGAGATACTTTATACAATTATATTGATATCAAATTGATTTTCTGAGTCAGAGGCAAAATGTAAATATTCTTGTTAAATACCACACAACAAATTAATTCCCGCAGTACCAAACACTCAGAGGTGGGCTCGAGGGTCCATCAGTCGTTATGTCAGGCCCATCCGTTGGCAGCGGCAACAGCCAATCGGCGTTGAGAAAATACTACGTCAGACGTATGCACAGCACAAACAGACGCTAGTTTCAAGAAAAGAGTAATTTTCCTTTATTTTTGTTGTATTTCGTTTTTGCAGTGGTTAGCTTCTCAGTATATGACTCTTATCATTTACAATGATAAACTGCTCCTTCAAACGTCTCTACATGGGATTTAATTCACTTCTGTTTCTTGGGAAAATGTGTCGGAACAACTTGAAAGTCACCCAAAGCCACTCAATGAATTATGCAGAATTTTGCAGGTTGCACGATAATCTGATGAAGTATTTACAGTTGAATTTGCCATCATTTATTGCCCACTTTAAGGTCCATCAAGTTGAGCATTAGTACAGTGTTAACTCATTACTTGACATTTGCTAGCCTATTTTATTCTTGTAAAAATCAAACTAAACTACATCGAAAAATACAATTAGAGCATTCACACAAGGGCAGAGCAAGAACACCAGACACCAAGTGAGAGGTTATTTCAGTTTGATGAAACAAGTGGAGTTTGTGTATTTGGACACATCAAAGGGAAATAAATTTTGTTGTTCACGTCATCAGAACTCCAGGAAGTTGGTGACAATAGCAGCATTGTAGATCAGGTCTGAGATGTAACCCATCGAGGTCTGCGGTCCCATTTGTGTGTGATGATGATGATGGTGGTGGTGATGTCCTTGGCCCTGAGTTACCTCCCAGTATGCTGGCTGAGAGTGAGAAGGAACGACTTGGTCGACAGAAACGTGGCCTCCGGCTCCGCCCCCGTATAGAGCCTGAGGACCCCCAGACTGAACCAGGCTCTGGGCTTTGAAGTTCCTGAGGGTCTGGTAGGAGTGGTTAGACGCAGAATGGTGTCGCTGCCTGGTGATGGGATGTGAAAACGCACCAGGTCGGAAAGTCGGGAGGGTCGATCCCAGTTGCGGCCGCTGCTGTCGCTCCTCCTCCCGGAGACGAGACTCCGAACGCCTTGGGGATCCGAGGGCGGGCTGCGTGTGTTGCGATGAAGTGGATGGCGTAGACTGGTTGTTGTAAAGTTGAATCCAGTCAGAGTAGAATTGTGGGATGTCGTCACAGGTTTGATTTTGCTCCGGTCTGAATATGTCTGCCATGGTCGGAGAAGGGAAAGCCGAGGTTACCAGTCCAGAGGTGGGTTCTGTGAGCCTCCGACTTGCCACAAAGTGTTTGGTGGACTTGGGCAATTTCCCAGTCTTGATACTTCGGGCTCTTCGGTTTTGAAACCACACCTGTGCAGGATTTTGATTTTCAGTCTCAATGGCATTAGACTTCAATGCAATTTTCGAACAAAGTGTGTGGTCTTCCGTCAAGAAAAATGATCAGACCTACATTGGACAAACCTGCTTTGTGCTAGGTCACAAACAGATTTTTAAAATTATTTTTTTTTTAACCACTCCGTTGTGAGAGTGAAGCAGGTATCACTTCTGATCAGAGCGCAGACCTCCACCAAGGCAAAATATTCACACAATTCACACAACATGTGTCATGTGCAAGTCACATCACTTCAAGACCTTCATCAATAGAATTTTCTGAAGATGCTTCCCGGTTTTGATGACATGTTTGTAGCTTTTAGCGTGGCAATATGATGTTCTAACTGCAAGTTATTAGGAATATAGTGTGCTCTTCTCATACAACTCAGGTGTACCTAGTGTTGTGGCTAGTCAGTTTAACCCTTTCAGGGACAGCGGTTAATACAGTGTTCAGATGATCAGGTTATCGGGGTATCATTATTTGTGCATGAAAGGGCTAAATCACTCCAATATGTAGAAAGACCCTCGTTTCTCCCACCCACCTGAATCTTACTCTCGGGCAAGTGCGTGTGCACGGCCAGCCTCTCCCTGAGGGTGATGTCTGGGTAGGGAGTGACAGCAAAGGCTTGCTCCAGCTCAGACAGCTGAGCCCGGCTAAAGATGGTCCGCTTCCTCTTTCTCGGACCCTCGCTCAGACAGGCACCTCGGTCCGGCTCTGTGGAGGATGGGGCACTCTCATTGTGCACACCTTCGGCAAGAGGGAAAAGAAGATCATCAATTGGTTCATTTTTAGTAATTATTTAGGATAGTTGTCTTAGTTATGTATTTACTTTGTTGACAAGAATAATTTTTATGATATATTTTCCTGATGGTCTCAAACACAGATGGGATGATACAAATTAAAAAAAAAACATACATATCAAACAATTTATTTCCAGACGTTGTTTTGGCTTACCTTTACTGTGTTCCTGTTCCCCAAATAACCCCGTCAAAGCCAGCGCATCTGCCTGTTGATTCTGCTTTACTAATGAGAAATCTGCATCCAAGAACAAAGCCATTATCGCCGCACAAACGCAGTCACCCTCTGATCCCTTGACAGTTGATGCATGATTTGACCGGGAAGACAGGGGGAACCACCTCTTATACCCACACAGAGCACACCCCTCAACAAACACACACACACACACACACACACACACACACACACACACACAGGAAATCCAGGTATTAAAACACCACTTACTTTAATCTCAAATTACTGAGAATCAAATCATGCTGTTTTTGCAAGTCCCATAATGGACAATACTCTAGCAATGACTTCAATCGAATTTATCATCATCTACCATACAACATGATGTCTGGCATTATTGTTTACACCTGAAGTTCTTGTCTGTTAAGAAGATGGATGCCAAACTGAAGCCGATTATTTTATTAAATAATAATAAATTCAACATTATACTGCCCATAAAGCCATGACTAGTTGGAGTTATTATTATAATATTGTCGTTTTTCCTCACCAATGACCAGTGACTGAAACATCCAAGTTATCCATTCACAGGGTGTTTTTAAATCTGGAGTTCACGTGAATCGTGTAAAAGTGGGTGAACCCTTTTCATCACAAAGTTTGGGGAAATCCTCGTGAAGATATTACTTTTTAATGTTCAAATTCAATAAAATGTTAAAATGTTCATTCTTCCATGAATGTTCAAGAGCAGTGGTTCTTAACCTTCTTAGAGGTACCAAACCCAACCTGTTAAAATGCACATTCACCGAACCCTTCATTAATGAATAATAAATACTTTTTTTTTTTTTTTACAAATTCAAGATATTTAAAAAAAACACACTTGTTAAAAACAGAAAAAAGTAAATACAATTTCAAGAGATAAGTGTACTTTTTTTGTTGTTTTAATTGTATGACGTACTATCACGACAGTCACACGTTGACTACTATGCGAACTAAATTTCCCGCAGCACTGATTGGACAAGCAATGTAATGTGATCATCTGCAGCCAGTGATGGCCAAGCGGGCGTGTCATAACTAATTGACATGTTGAGTCGCGTGCGTCTTAACCTCCATGGCAGAGACTCTGTCGAACCCCTGAACCCAGGTTAAGAACCACTGTTCTAGACTATTTAATTTTCATTTTAATGTTGAAAAAATACTGGTATCTTCCAACATTTTAACCTTATGGTAACCGTTTGATAGAGGTCAGGTTTAATTTTCTTATTAGAATGTGTGCTGAGCAAAAATAAATAAATAAATAAATTAATTAATTAATTTAAAAACTGTCGGTCAAAATGGCTGGTGTTCAGATACCACTGCTGTTGGCCAGTGTTCCCCCAATGACCGGATGTCAAATAATAATATTTATTCATTCATTTATTTGGAGTGGAACAGACATCCTGTCATGTCACTACTTTTGCTGTCATGCTGCTGTAATAATTTTCTAGCGAGGTCTCCAGCAAGTATAAGCTTATATGGAATTTGTAACGACGGGTGGATTCAAGAAGTAGCATCTGAAAAGAAATGTAACGCATTTTTCTGTCAGCTGACAATGATTTTATTAAATGTTAACAACTCAACATCCCAGCATAGTGTGGTCTCATTTTAGAAACACTCAATTTATTATTCTCCATAACACTTGAATACATTTCATAATCAAAACTATTTTACAAAATGATTGCCTACATTTATTTCAGTTCTTTGCTTATGCTGCAAATTGTGTCCCTTCTGGTGCAGTGTCAAAGGTTAAAATACTCAACATGTGGGAATAATAAAGGGTTAGAAGCAACAAAAAAACATACAAACTAAATATATTTGAACTCAACAACGTGTTGTCTTCATTGATTTGTACAATACACAAACACACACACGTACACGCATTCACTATTCTGGGTTGAGCCCTCTAAAATTGGAACGAATGTTCTTCAATTAACCACACGAGGGCAGCCCAGTCTTGAATTCTTTGACTTCTCTCCTGGGCACAGAGGAAAATGCCTTTTATGTGGCTCCTTGCAATATGGCAGTGGAAAAGACGGCTTGGAAAAGATCACGGCACGATTTGCGGTGTATGTGGATTGTCACTCAAATTTGCGCAGGTGGTTGTAGAGCGACTGAACGTAGGTGAATACACACATTGGATCCGGTTTCCGACCCATAATCATCATGTCATCCACTTCGATGAGCCGGTCGCAGCCAGCCTTCAGTCTGGAGACAAAGGCAGAGAGATACAGAACAGAGCATGAATTGGAGCTCTCGTCATACACCAGCCTGATCTTGTTTAAGTGAGATTAATGATCAAATACATTCGGCGTCATGGTTGTTTTCTTCAGATTTACAGTAAAATAACCAGTTGTACACATTCTATGTATGAAAAGGAACAATGTAAAAAGTAAATCAACATTTCTATGAAGACCTTAAATATAACTGAAATTGTGTTCAGTGGATACATGTGTAAGCTTAAGTTAAATTATTAATTATTTTCATTTTATATTTGAGCATTATATTCCTTGATGTTATAGTTACCTAAATTATACTCCGTTTAATAATTGTTGAAACATTCTTACGTTGCTTGCGTCTGATTGGCTGAAGAGAAGCAGGAAGTGTATTTGTTACCGGAAAAGGGTATGTTCGTGTTGTGAGTAGCGGAGCAGACGTTGAAAAATAAAAGCTAAGTTCAAAGGATTCCATCTCTCCTTTTGCCCATTCTTAAAGTAGAGCTTCCACTCAAAACCTACGAACCCCTCAACTTACACATGTATGCATCTCACGTGGTCTAGAAATTTGGACACATCTTTTCGTTGAGCCTGTCCATTAGTTTTAAACAACAACAACAACAAAAACCTTGAAATATGCGAAAGATAATACAATGCTGTACTGTTACATCTGTAACGCGAAACAATACTATCTGCAATCATATTCCCCATTGAAATGAATGCCAAAAATCAATTCCAGGCATTGTGGTGCTTCTGGCGTGTGCACCTTGGCCACTAGGGGTGCTCAAATACAGAAAAGTAGGAAGAAGAGTTTCACAAAGTGACTCGGTCAGCTTCAGTAAAATTTGATATTTTCACAAAGGTGGCCGTTTGAGAGGTGACCTTTTTGTATAAATGTCATACCTGTCAACTCATACGGTTTAGCCATAGTTCATACGGATTTTGTGGTGAATATTACGTATATGGCCATATCGCACAAATCATACGGATTCTGAAAATTTCCGTTTTTGTTTTTTTTTTTCCCCTAACAGGTAGTTCCGTTTGCTTTTGCCCAGAATGGTGCTAGTCTACTCGAATGCTTTCATTTCCGGTAACTTTCCAGTACATCACGTGGTTCCTAGTTGAAAACAGCAGAGTATTCATTGCATACTTCGGTAGTGTACAAGCAAGTTCTACAAGGGAACAAATATATCATTCATATTTCGTGGGTTTTTTTCTGCCGTTATTTTGACATATAAAATGCTTTGGTATGTTATAAGGATTTTTTGCTCTTTATAAGGATTTTTTTGGTAGTTTATACAGGTTGGTGATCCGAAAAGTTGACAGGTATGAAATGTTGATGTAAGGACGGAGTTCGACACACGTTAGTCCAATGGAGAATTGTTACTTCTGTGATACAGGGATAAATCAATGTGAAACCGGCTCACAGTACTCACTATTTTTTGTGTGCTTTTAGTCTTGGGTCTTATCAGTAATGTAGTACTGTTGATTTTTCCTCATGTCAGAATAGACAAACCTGCATGAACGACTTTGTTGCAAGCAGACAAGCATCCTGGTAAAGTTACGGGTTAATTTAGTTATCGGTTCAAGTTTGCGTTTGCTGCACAGCTGTAAACAATGTAGCTTTACATTGGTGTCGCAAGTGATGAAGTGCACAAAAAAAAAGCTAATATTAATTAAATAAATCATTGTCGTTTTGTTTCTTGGTGTACTTCTCGAGGACACTCCACTTATTTGCTGCCACTCACTCTGCAGTCCCAAAAGCCAGTTCAAAGTTATGCTTGCGGTTGGCTGGTGATAATGATTCATAGTCGAACTCGGTGGGAAAGAAGGAGTGGACCAGAGCGCAGAAAGCCATGCCATCACTCCAACTGGATGAGAAGTTCTGTATTTCTATGTTCTGCAGAAAAGGGGAGATAAAGAAAGCTTGGTAAGGTTGTTGCAAGCATGTGGACAAAAAAATAAAAAAATAAATAATAACAATAAAAAAATCTAAGAACTGACATCTTAAAAATGGTCAGTGGAAGATAAAAGAAGACAACAGCGTGGCTATAAAATGATCCCCACTTTCACATAAATATGATGGATGTAACAGTTGTGCTGAACTTTTTTCTTTTTAATTGCCCTTGCAAGGCTGCTGATCTTCAAAGTCAAAACTCCATATGTACTCAATTGTGTTTCTTTATATATATATATATATATATATATATATATATAAAAATATTTTTTTTTCTTTTCGATCCATGTCTTCACAAAACCTTACTGATAACAGAGAGGAAAAAGTGTGGAAAAGATGCTTAACACTGGCTGTTGTGTCTGAACATTTACTTGTACTTCCTGTGTGGAATTTGCATGTTCTCCCCGTCCCTGTGTGGGTTTTGTCCGGGTATTCCGGTACACCGGTTTCCTCCCACGTTCCAAAAACATGCAGGGCAGGTGAATGGAAGACTAAATCTTTGTTACAGCTGCCGCTGTTGTTAAAGCACTATATAAATCAGCATGTACTGTATTGTATTGTATTGTATTATATTGTATAAATTGTCCCTACGTGTGAGTGTGAGTGCAGATGGTTGTGTGCCCTCCAATTGGCTGACAAACAGTTCAGATCGGGCTATACTTGGGACCCTCGTAAAAATAAGCGGCTCAGGTCATGCATGAATGAATGAATAAATTATAATTATTGGGCCCACTTCTTTAAGAAAGGGTACAATTTCAGTAGTGGCAAAGGAAAACCCCTTTCATGTGTAAAAGTTCAACTTCAATGTGCATGATTCTTCACAGTGAACGTTAACTGGTTGCAGACGTGTCTCAAGTGCACATGATGTCTTTGCTTGAGTGAAATAGAACATGCCAGGTCATCAGATGAACGATAGAGTGTTTCCTCTTAGCCAGTAAGAGTCGGGGCTACGTCGAATTTAACTATAACTCAAGCCACATGCAGCTGCTGGCACAGGCTGCTGGTAATAGTGCAGCAATGTGTCAAAACACTTAGCCGTGACCTAAAATGCTTCAAACTCTGTTCCCCCAGAAACACTCGTTTATAAAAACACACCAACCACATTTGCTTCCATACAGTGCAGATTAAATTAACACATTAACACTAAGTTTATTGGGTTGCTAAACATTTAAAACAACGGAAAGATGGACAGAGATCACACTTCAAATTTGCTCCTCATCTCCAGTGCGAAAAATCGGGTTTTTGATGTTGAAACACAATTATCCAAAGACAGCTGAGGACTCCAGTAAATTATAAAATAACCACATTCTAGTAAAAGCCAGACTAAAAAAAAAAGTAACACTGTCAAACAAGTTGAATCTGTGACTACAAGAGCAATGTTTTGAACTGGCACCCTGGACAAGGAGGAGAGAATGTTGTTGTGATAAACGCTAGTTTCCAGCGCCTTCCTGGAGATGAGTATCACAGAAAAATTGTCTGACAGTCTTCGTTTGAAACCAACGTATGCTCATTTTGTCGACAAAGAGCATGGTGCTGCAACACGCGCATTGAAATTTGTGGTAATGTGCTTGCATTGTGGAGATGGTTCGCCAAGTCCCACAAGAACAAGAGGTACTGTATGATTTTGAGATGCAGGGTTCTATTTCAGCTCGGGCCTTCCTGTGTGGAGTTTGCATGTTCTCCCTGTGCCTGCGTGGGTTTTTTCCGGGTACTCCGGTTTCCTCCCACATTCCAAAAACATGCATGACAGGTTAATGGAACACTCTAAATTGTCACGAGGTGTGAGTGTCAGCGCGGATGGTTGTTCGTCTCTGTGTGCCCTGCGATTGGCTGGCAACCGGTTCAGGGTGTCCCTCGCTTACTGCCCGAAGTAAGGCTCCAGCACGCTGGTGACCCTCGTGAGGATGAGCGGATTAGAAAATGGATAGATGGAAGATGTTCGCATAACCTTTGAAGATTGATGGCAGTTTGATGACATCAAGCGACGTGACGCTTGTTTACGTTAAGCATCCTGGTCTTGAGATTGCCATGCAGTGGGAAGTATTGCAAGTTTGAATGGCTTCTACATATGCTTAAAGCTAAATAAGACTGAGTCCAACCTCTTTTAACAAAACCTGGGGTGCGCGGGTTGCCCGCAATGATGCTCATGACTTTTATTGATGGGACGGGTCGACTAATGCTAGAAAGTCCAAGTGTGTACTTGGACTTACTTTCAGCCACAGCCCAAAAAATCCCAACCACTGAAATGGTGAAATAAAGTTAAATGATCTATATCAACAATTCAGGAATAAATTGTTGTCAGTCTTTGCGCATTTTCAGCTAAATGCATATTTAATGTATTTATGAACAAATGAAATCACTTTCCACGGTCTTTAAGTCCAGACATGAACATAAACTTGCGGATGAACTAAGTTGTTCCTCGGTTTGAATGTGAGTGTGAATTGTTGTTTGTCTGTACATGCCCTATGATTAGGTGGCGACCAGTCCAGGGTGGACCCTGCGTCGCGTCCAAAATGATGACACTTATTGACTTTTACCTGGTAGCCTACGGTCTTGGAGCGACACCACTCAAGAAGGATCTGTTTGATGCTGCCTGCGCTGGAAACTCCAAAACTTTGGGAGCGCTTCAGTTTGGGTTTGGATTCCATTAGTTTGGGGCGACTGTACAGATAACAAGCCAACCTTTGTGAGTACCATCCAATCGTTTTCATCCAACCTAATACAAAAAGAGCATCTTTACCTGTTACTGAGGTCTGTGTCCAACCTCTCAAAGACTGACCGCCGAGCCTGAGCTCCAATGTTTCTTGGTAAAGTTTGTGACCTCACCAGCTCTCGCCTCCTTTCTCCTCCATGCCCAAAAGATCGCTCTTTGCTTTCTTCATTGTCATCTCTGTAGGTGACGCACAGTCTTAGTAGGCCTTAAAGGGAAGGTCAACCCCCAAATTTTCTTTACAATAACATGTTCAATGCGCCTCCATTAGTCTAAACATGGCATTTTAATTCATATTGTGTTTGTGGAATTTGAGTTGAGCAGCAACATCCATCTCAGGCGGCGGACATTTTGCCACTTGTTCTGGACTGCATATGACATCTCTGTTGCTCAGGGCTCAGGTAACAACCGATCATGGCTCACCTGGGCCCTCGCCTGAGATGGACAAAAACTGGTCGATGTTACTGCTTAACTCATTCCACTAACGCAATATTAATCAAAATGCCATGTTTAGACGAGTGGGGCTGCATACAACATTTTATTGTAAAGGAAATTTGGGGGTTGACTTCCCCTTTAAATTCAAATATGACTCCCATTTTGTCTAACCTGTCATGTTGAGGTAAGCCTGCATAAGTCACAGTTTTAGCAGTGGGTGAAACCGTCTTTTCTGCAAAGACAATCACAACCGTCAATTGTAACTGCGGTCTTAGTCTCAGTGTGAGGGTCTATTTGCCTGGGAACCTCACCTTGGAGGCGCGAAGTTCCCACAGCTCTGATGGGTATGGCGTTCCACGTCTTCACACAAGACACTAAAACAAAAATCAATGTTTAGTCTGGAGTTTTACAAAGGCGATATGTACTTGGTCATGTTTGTCACAGAGTCACCTGGTTGAACTGGGGATTCTGCACTTGATTGAGGCTGGATGGTGTTGGCAGTTGATTGACTGGGAGGGAAGGCTTCTGATACTGGAGGGAAACTAGAGGAAGTGGGGCTACTGGGAGACTCTGGACAAGTCTTGAGTTCTGCTGTCTTGGTGGTGGCCGTGATGGGGAAGTGGGCCATCCGCATGGCAACTGGAGCTGTGTGTTCATGTGGGAAATCTCTGGGTGGAGACATCTTTCCATGTACCAGCAAGGAATGTTCTTATTGGAGGAAAATAAAGAGATCACATAAAAAGAAATAAAGAAAGAGAGAAAGAAAGAAAGAAAGAAAGAAAGAAAGAAAGAAAGAAAGAAAGAAAGAAAGAAAGAAATCCATGTCGAGAGATGATGGCAACATGGCTCAATATTTAATTTAAAAAAAAAAAAACACAGCTCAGACAAATGACCAACTATTGACCAAGTTTAGAGGCAATCACTTGCATGCAGTCAGGATGCCAATGCTTTGACCTCAGATACACCGACTATATGGATCTGATTGCACGGCCCTTTTAGGAACTCTTATGTAATCCAAAGAAACTGTCAAGTTTAGTTCATCGCAAATGTGTCAAGGACAAGGGGGTCCAAAGAGTGGGGCTGACGGGGTGGGGGCCCAGGGCATCCACAGCAGCCCCACCGCTCCTGCATAAAACGATACAAGAGGTCATCTGCCCATGATTGATGGGTATACGGTTTGAAAATCTTCTGTCCAAAGTCCTACAAAATCACTCATCATTTAAGGAAATACGTTACGCTTTACTGTATAATAAAGTGCCCTTTCATTTTTTTCTTTTTAATTCTGATCATCATTATGAAATCATTTCTCAAACTTAACACTTAAGATAGTCTCTCTGATTTTGTGTAAACAGCATCTTCACTTCGAACTGACATTTCCCCTCATGAAGTCCAGTAACAGTTTTTGTTTGAACCTCTCTAACCAAACACAGGAGAGAACTAGCAGAGCACTGACAGTGATGACATCACTGTGAAATAGTCTGGAATTAATCTGCCAGACTTGACAAATCTCTCCCAGAACCACAGAAAACATTACTCAACAATTTTAACAGGCTAGCACTCAACATCCCCCATTAAAGTGAGACTTAGGAGTAAAATGTCTTTTTTTTCTTTTCTTTTAAAAGCCTTTCAGTCAATTGGCTTGACGTCAGTTTTGTGCTTGAGCTTTGAGTTTCAGAACATGTTGTACTGGCATGATGAGAAACACTTGCGGGTACCTGTTGACGCAGTGTGTCCATTCTCCAGGCACGCATGTGTCGGGGCCTGGTCAACCTCTATTGGCTCCTCTCGCTCAATACTCTGGAACACACATACAGTATAACGCAATTAGAATGTTGTTTTGAGTGTGACGTCATTCATGACTTTCATTGCAGAACCGGGGACTGATTACAATTTGGATGATCAGCAGACACGAGATTTTGTGTAGTCCTCCAGTCTTCCAGCGATCCAATTAATGGATGAAATTCGGAAAGAATTTTGTTTGTGCGTCATACTTGGATCATACAAAGTGTGTTACTTCATTCATGTGCTGTTAGTAACGAAACATGAATTTATCATTCAGCACGTGGGCCAGCTTCCTTCCTCAGTGTAAGAGGTCCTGCTGTATATTTTATTCCTGCTGTGATGACTCTTTCCCATAAACATGCAACATGCAAACTGCCGAGATGTACCTAATTAAAGAAGACAGATGCGTCAAACGTGATTCTCTTTCAAATAACTGCCATATGGAACTGGCAGGAGCTGTGGGTCACGTGGACCTCTTCGTCAAACACTCAAGTGATTACAGTCATACCTCGGTTTTCGACCATCAGCCGTTCCAGAAGGCTGTTCGAAAACCGAAACCACGCTCTTTAAAAAAAAAGTTTATTCAACAAGTATGCTTTTTTTTTTTAATAGAATCTTTATTCGAACAAGTCATAATACAATTCTCAATAAACAGAAAACAAAATGAACATGTTATTAATACATACACATATTCAACAAGTATGCTCACAATGGGAAGCGACACGAGGAAGCGTCACTTCCTCGCGTAAGGAAGGCGACAGGAGTCAAGTGGTGCATTCAAGTGCGCTCAGTTTGTTCGTGTACCGATTTTCGGTCGTAATCCGAGGCATAAAAAAACTCGAAATTTTTGGTCGAAAACCGATTTGGTGGAGAACAGAGACGTTCGAAAACCGAGGTTTGACTGTATATACCGCTTTGGCATGACAGGGGTCAATGGGAGAAACTGATAGCTGTGTACATTTTTGCAAGGTTATACCATGTCAAAAATGACAAGAGACCTTTTAAAAAGGCTTTTCAGGGGGTAAAATCACAAGTAGCCGTGATGGAAGTCAGTGAACAGCTGCTGCCGTTTCAAATTGTCAGAGTGGAGCTGAATGTGTTTGGCGGAAATCACTGGGCCATTTCACCGCTTGGTTTGCGGTGTCACCATGCGTAGAATCAAACCAGCCTGTGCATTGAAGCAGGCTCATGCTATTCAGGTTGTCTGCGAGTAGTAAGAAGGGGAAATGCAGAGCCGCATAACTAGTGAACATGCTATCATCGACACCGACATGGGAAACACAAATGAATATCTCTAAATGAGACAGAGGCAAGTGGTTGTAAAGTGGAAACAGCTGACTATCAAGCAGGAGGAAGGAGACAAATTGTTGAATGTCAGTTCTGTGGGAAGGGGAGCTTCCCTAAAATCCAATGTGGGTCAGAGAAGGGAAACACAATTGCTAGGCTGCTCCAGTTCCTGTCAACTCTCTCCATTATCTGCACTTGTGATTTGCCTGCACAACACTCTGCAACACTTCACACGGCACACACGACTGACAGGATACCTGAGGTCAGGCCACGCCCATCACGCAGCAACACTGCTCTCATGAGTGTGGGAATTGTCATGATGATGTCAGTAGAGTGGGTATAAGCAATCTATTTTTGAAAAGATAATAGTGGATGTCTTCAGCTAGGGAAATGTTTTGCAATGCTTGTGAATTTCCCTACCCCTGTGGAAACACTATTAATCTATCGTTGATCTTTTTTTGTTTGTTTGTTTATTGAACATATAAGCGAGTAAGAGAAAAGATTAGAATGGAAAGTTAAAACAAACATCAATGAGAAGAGAAAGCACATCTATAGTCATCGTTAAGCACAGTTTATATGTTCAAAAGGGAGCAGGAAGTTAAAAAAAATGTATTTCGTCCTACTCTTTGTTCTCTGTATATTTCATGTCATGTCAAAAAATAAGTTTTTAAAAGATTCCTCCAAATCTGAAGGCAAATGTTTGTCACTTTTGATTTATTTTCTGTTTTGCATTAAAATATTTTTTGAACCTGTCTTAAAGAACATCATACTTTAAAATCAAGTTCACCCTTCCCCCCTTTTGTTGTTGCTACTACAGACAACGTTCCTAAATTATAAACATGATGCGATCTCTTTCAATTCAAATGATACATCCAACGTTTATTTGTTTAGTAGTTATGTTAAAACGAAAATGTAATTAAAACGCTTTTGAGTAGGCAAATGTGAAAAGGTATTTTTTTTAATTCCCCCTAAAATAATGTTTGGCTGGAATTTGTCTTTTCTCATTGGTTTAGCTGAAGAATTACAGTGACTCTGAGGTCAATCCAGCATTCCTATTATGGTGGCATTTAGCTGTACTCTGTGCTTATTTAAATGAACGCGGAACTTTCTTGAGTTTTGTTAACAATCAACAACTGGTTTGCACTGGAATCTTCTGTTTAGGAACCAGTCATGTTACTCTTTACTGACACATGCAAGAAGACTCTTGGAGAGTCTGCCTTCTGTTGATAAGTAGCTAAAAGTAGCACTTGTCACAACAAGATGGCACCAAAATAGACTGGCCTCATTCTCCATTACAAGCAATAACCCCATTCACCCAACATTTGAAATGATTGTGGTAGTCGGTAACTCGACTGAAGTGTGTCCATGAAGGTATTCTATATTATGAAGCTTGCCCGAAGAGGCAACATGTGTGCTCCTCCCCATGGGCTCACCACCTATGCGAGGGGCCAAAGCACTTTTCTCTGCCCCCCAAAATAGTAAGACTCTGTAGGTTTGACTATTTTGTACTACAGAGAAAGTAGAATGGGCATGCTAAACAGTAATTACCAGTATGAAACATATTCTGTGGACAGTCTGCATGTATCAGACCTAGCGTTAGTGTTCATTCAATTATATTCATCAATTAGCCATCCCTTTCAGTGTATTTCCAGTTTGGACCAAACAGTTAGAAGACTGTTTGCAAAACTCACAATAGTGGTTGTAGCTAAAGGATCACTTGCACTGGGAAGCCCTTCTGTTTAAACAGGCGGTATGAGTGTGCATTGGTGAGTGCCACATCCTGTTTAGTCAGAGGATATTGTTTAGCTGTCACAGGTATCTCCATGGAAGCGTGAGAGCTGGGAGCAGCTGGTGTGGGATTTGATGATCAAGACTACTTGCTGATGGAAATGTAGAAATCACAACTACATCTATTTAAGTCGTAATCAACATGTCAGCCAACATGTGTCATCCATCAATATATAGTGCCTATCCTCCTCATTATGGTTCTGGGTGAGCTGAAACCTATCCCAGCCGTACACCCAACCAATTGCAGTGCACATATAATTAACCAATAACACTTTGGGTGTGTGTGTGTGCGCGTATGTGTGCGTGTGTGTGTGTGTGCATATATATATATATATGTATATTTATATATATAAAGACCTTAATAGGAAAACAGCTCCTAATACCTGTTTTACAGAGACATTTAAGCCATTTCTAATATACAGTATGTGCGTGTATTTGTGTTTAGAAATACATGGCAAAGGAGGCTGCAAACATATTGCAAAGTTTGCAATGATGATCCTGGACAGGCTAAAAATAAGGTGACAGGACATGTATTTGTATGCGCATCTGTTCGTATTTCTGATTTTATCGTAAGAGCGGATCATTAAGTTAATTAATGAATACATGGCCATTATTCAGGTTAATGGAACACTCTAACTTGTCCCTAGATGTGATTTTGAGTAGGAATGGTTGTTTGTGAGGATAAGTGGATTAGAAAATGGTTGGATGGCCATTATTGTTCCGTGCAACTGTCGTTGACGTCGCGAGCAGCAAGTGAATCAGAATCGCGAACATTACTATTTGTTGGCTGCTCTTCATTTGCAAGAATAACGTGTCATCATCAACTGTTTTCAACCTCTTTCTGCCACACACTCGACTTGTTGATAACTTTTACAATATTTAACCAGATGTACTCTGTGCTTATTTAAATGAACATGGAACTTGCTTGAGTTTTGTGGTGCCTACCACTTAGTGGTGCAACGGATCAAAAAACTCATGGTTGGGATCATTTTCTATATCATCAATCATTTTTATGATTATTTTTTGAAGAAAACTGTCACGTTGCGAGCAAAGCGGAAAGGAACCCGCTTCATTCGCAACCAAAATTAATCTAGAGGATTCCCGAAACAGCAGACAACAACAAGAACTCCGTATGAAAATAAGATTTATTAACAAAAACCGCACCGCAAAAACGAGACAACAGAAAACGCTGGCAAAAAACGAGTACCAGGAAAACACGTAAAAACCGAATAACAAAAAACGCTCGCACTAAGGCAAGGGGGAAAAAACAAACTTGTCGCAATATAATACACACCGAGAATACAACACCAATACTAACTCGCGCACAAAGACGAAATGCGAAAAGGTAAGTACCGACACAATGGGCAAAGCAGTGGCACGGCAAGCAATTCTCCGGCAAGTGAGAGTACGAAAGACAGCCCTAATAAAGCCAGTGCCTAATTACCAATAGGTAGCAGGTGTGCATCCGGCCAGAAAGCCTTCTTGCTGTGCAGTCTTGTAACAAAAATTATTATTACTCGTGTTTCATATGTGCTCTCTCTCGTACAGAATGTATATTTAAACTGCGGAGGATCCTCTGCAGAGCTTCAAAAATGTCCCGTCATATTTAATGAGAGACTTTAAGCTGCTCTTTTGATAGAGCTCATCGTTAGGGCCAGCTCAGGCTTGTTGTGAATCATCTCCAAACTATGCTGGCATAGGCTGAGACTGATGAGGGATTCCCCATAATGTACCAAATTCTTCTAACCCGCTAATGTAACTATAAGTTGAAGATGATATGCTGTTCAGAAATATCAACACTTTTTTTTTTAGCTCTGCTGCCTGATCGCTAATCACGCTGCTACATTTATCGTTAAGATTACATTACGGAAATGTAAATTAAATGACCGTGTCACTATTATATCCTGAAACTTTTAAAATGTTGGTTTCTGTGCATTTTT